CACAAAAAGTGAAAGCAACAAGAAACTATAAAAATTAACAGATTTGCCACAGAACCTAAAACTTTTAGAAATGAAAATGTAATTGTTTAAAAACAGAAGCACCTCAGTAGATAGGTTAAAGGGCTATTTAAACACAGCTGAAAGTGAACAGAAATAAAGAGCTGAAGAAATTAACCTGAATTCAGCACAGAGAGAAAAAGAGGTGAAAAACAAGAGAGTTTAAGCTAAGAGGACAAATGAAAGGTCCTAATGTGCTATAGTTGGAGTCCTAGAGGAAGACAGTAGAATGAATGGAAGAAATCTAGTATTTGAACAGATTATGGATAAGCATATTCTAGAACTAAAGAAGTCATGAGCCATAGATACAGAAAGTACAACATATAACAAGCAAGATAAATAAAAATAAATCTGTATCTTGAGATATTATAGAGAAACTACAGATACTAAAGGCAAAGAGATCCCAAAAGTAGTCAGAGATAAAAGACAGGGTACCCATAACAGAGTAGTCTTGTCTCTTAGAAGCAGTATACTTCTTATCAGCAACAGTGGAAGTGAGAAGATAATAAAATATCTTCAGGGTGCTAAAAGAAACATGTAACTTAGAATCATGCTCTCAGCAAAACTAAAGTTCAAAAATAAGCAAAATAAACACATTTTTATTTAAACAAAAATGAGAAAAGTTTACAAACAGCAGAACAATACCTAGGGAACTTCTGAGGGATATACTTCAGAAAGAAGGAAAGTAATGCCGCTAGGCAGGAGGATGAAAGAAAGAATAATAAGCAACTACATCAGTAAATATGTTGATAACATAAATCTCAACAAAGTCTATATGTAAATAGTAATAATGGCTATATTCTGGGGATTTTAAAAAGGACAGCTAAAATACTGGACAAAAATAGTATGTAGGGCTTCCCTGGTGGCACAGTGGTTGAGAGTCCGCCTGCCAATACAGGGGACACGGGTTCGTGCCCCGGTCCGGGAAGACCCCACATGCCGCGGAGCAGCTGGGCCCTTGAGCCATGGCTGCTGGGCCTGCGCATCCGGAGCGCCTGTGCTCCGCAACGGGAGAGGCCACAACAGTGAGAGGCCTGCATACTGCAAAAACACACACACACACACACACACACACACACACACACACACACACACACACAGTAGTATGTAGTTTGGGGAGGAGGTGAACATAATTAATCTTTGTATTTTTCAGTGGGGAGGGTGATTAAAATAATAAAAAATGAGTGCATATAATTAAAGCCTAACCAGTAGAAGAGTAAAAACCAAATAACTAACTAAATACATAGAAAATTTTAATTTTTAGAAATGCAAGAAAGAGGGGAAAAAAGCATCATTAGAGTCAAATAGAACACCAAAATAAGATGGTAGAAATAACTCTTAATAAATCACTAATTACACTAACTGTAAATGGACCAAACCATCAGTTCAAAGAAAGGGACTATAAAATTGAGTTTTAAAATACAAAAAGCTATAAACTGTTTATATGAGACATATGTAAAACATGACACAGAAAACGGAAGAAAAAATATGCCAGGCAAAAGCTAGTCAAAAGAAAGTGGAATATCAGGAAAAAGTAATAAATTATCAAAAAAGTAATATGAGGAGAGAGAAGACTACTTCATAGTAATGAGATTCAATTCAGCAGCACATAGTAACAATTCTAATTCAGTATGTACATAATAAAATAACTTCAAGGTATATAAACAAAATTAGTAGATTCATAGGAAGAAATTAATCCATTTTCATAGTGGGAGATTCCAGCACACTCAATTATTGATCAAGCAGACCAAAAAATAAAACTAAAAAACAGAAAATTAGAAAAGAAAATTTAAACACCACAAGATAACAAGTATGATTTATTGGACATATATAGACCCCTATATTTAGTAATTAGAGAAAAATACATTTTCTTCTCAAGCATTCATGGAACATTTGCAAAAACTGGTCATAGATTGGTCCATAGATCAAATCTCAATATATTGTAAAGAATCAAAATTTTACAGGCCAAGTTCTCTCCACATTAAACTAGGAGTAAAAAATAAGGACTTTAAAAAAAAAAATTGTAGTAAATTAGTTGAGGTAGCACTAGGTACTATTACAAACCCTACATTTTACCTACTTAAATCAATAGACTTTTTTTGTTTACATATAGTCTTGTGTGTCAAAGTTAGTAAAGGACTCACCCCTGAAATGATTCAAAGACCTGGGCTCCTTCCTGGGTGTGGCTTCTCTATCCTCTTAGGGCTTCAATGTCTTTTTTTGTTTGTTTTTTTTCTGTATGCAGGCCTCTCACCGTTGTGGCCTCTCCCGCCGCGGAGCACAGGCTCCGGACGCGCAGGCTCAGCGGCCGTGGCCCACGGGCCCAGCCGCTCCGTGGCACGTGGGATCCTCCCGGACCAGGGCATGAACCCACGTACCCCGCATCGGCAGGTGGACTCCCAACCACTGCGCCGCCAGGGAAGCCCCCTTCAATGTCTTTTTTATTCAACTATTCAGGCTTTCTAATCCTTTTTTGTCAATTTCGATACTTTTTTTTGCATACCTTTCCATTTCATCTAAGTTTTGAAATTTATTGACATGAAGTTATTCACAGGGTTCTCAATTTTTCTTACCTCAATTAAGTATGTAGTTATGTCCTTTTTGGTCCCAATTGTATTTATTTAGGCTCGCTCTCATTTTTCTTGATCTATTTTGCCAGAGATATTAGCCTTTTCGAAGAGCCACCATTTAGCTTTTTAAGCCTCTCTGTTATATATGTATGTTTTCTCTTTTATTTTTAAAATTTGTTTATCTCTATTATATTATTTTTGCCTTTAACACAAGTCTAAGTAAGTTGTCTAACAAAACTGGATAAGTGAAATGATCTGAAGCCTGCTTTCTATGCCAATCAGACTTACCTGTGCCTAAATATTAGTTGCATTTAGAAAATTATATTCTATAAACAGTTATTATATTATTTTATATTTCTCCTTTCTCTTTTATTAATCAAGGAATTTTTCATTGTAAGGGAGAGATCTCTTTTTTTTAATGTATCGGTGGTGGTGGTAATGTTTTTAATATTTATTTATTTTTATTTTATTATTTATTTTTTTTTTTTGCGGTACGCAGGCCTCTCACCGTGTGGCCTCTCCCGTTGTGGAGCACAGGCTCCGGACGCGCAGGCTCAGCGGCCATGGCTCACGGGCCCAGCCGCTCTGCGGCATGTGGGATCTTCCCGGACCTGGGCACGAACCCACGTCCCCTGCATCGGCAGGCGGACTCTCAACCACTGCGCCACCAGGGGAACCCTTTAATATTTATTTTACTTATTTATTTATTTATGTTTTGTCTGCATCGGGTCTTAGTTGCAGCACGTGGGATCTTTGTTGCGGCATGTGGGATCTCTCGTTGCAGCACGCGGGCTCTCTAGTTGAGGTGCACGGGCTCAGTAGTTGTGGTGCGCAGACTTAGTTGCCCCGCAGCGTGTGGGATCTTAGTTCCCCAACCAGGGATCGAACCTGTGTCCCCTGCGTTGGAAGGCAGATTCTTAACCACTGGACCACCAGGGAAGTCCCAGAGATAGATCTCTTAATTCACAATAGCTTAAGGAAAAAAGGAACACATTGGCTTACATGGTTGAGAAGACAGTTATGGCTGGGTGCAGGTATTCAATGATGCCATTAGGAATCTGTGCCTGTGTCTCAGCCACACTTCTCCTTTAGGTCTTCTTCATCCTCGGGTTGCCTTTCCCAATGTAGTGCCACAGCTACCAGGCAGGCTTGTATCTTGCAAGCCTAGCAACTCCAGCAGAAAAAGAACCCAGCCCCAAGGGCTCCAGCACAAGCTCCAGGATTGACAGTTTCAACCCATGCCCACCTACACAACAAGTCACTGGGGAGGCGGAGGGGACATGGGGGGTAAGAATCAGCTTTCAACTCTAGTTAACCTACATGGGCCGAAAATTGAGGTGATTCCCCAAAGAAAGGGGAATGTAGGTGTGTGAATGAGAGAGTGTGGTGAGGGGTAGGACAGATGGATAAATGAAAGACGCAGTGTTAGTAGGAAAGGGAGATGCTGAGCAGGCAAGAACACCTACTGTCCCCCAGGTCTTAGTAAATCCTAGATTGGCAAAGCTCAGTTGTTCCATCAAGAAGTTCAGGAAAATCTACTGGGAGTAAAAAACTGGACAGAGGGGTAATCAGAGTGTTAATTTCCTTTCCACATGGAGTAGTTCCTTCACCCACATGATGGTACTACAGGAACATAAAACACATCTCCTTACTCTACATTATGTTTCTACCAACTAAAATTATACTTTTAAAGAGATAGCTTTTTCATTATAGTACGATATCTCTAAGATTCCCAGAGGTGACTGTAACCACTAGATACATAGAGCTATATAAATTTAAATATGAATTAATAGAAATTAAATAAATGTAAAGATTCAGTTTCTCATTCACAATAACCACATTTTGAGTGCTCAGTAGCCATCTGTGGCTACCATATTGGACAGCTTAGGTGTGGAACATTTCTGTCAACACAAAGTTCTGTTGGACAGCACTGAATTAGCACATTAAGCTGTTACCAGGAGTTTATTATTCAGTGTCTTTCTAGTGACAGTTACTCTAAAGGGGATTGGGTGAGAAATTTCAATTATGACAGAGAAAATGAGAGAAGCTGACTGGGACCATCCCATAGTCCTATTTTCATTTATTTAAAGGATTTCAGCTCCCTTCAGATGGGACAGCCTCTGCCATCGCAGAGCTGGAATCATCTGGTGATTTCTTTGAACCTAACCCACAACAGCAGTCTCTGGACCGGGTGCCCAGGAGCCACCTGAGAGCAATGGTGCTTGTGAGCAACTGGTGGTGTCAGCATTTTATCTAAAACAGCACCCACTGATACCAGGTATCATAAATTTCCACCCCTGTCATGCACTTGATCATCTCTCAATGCTACATAAATCTGATAAAAGCTGGATTTTTTCATTTTTTTTTCTGCAGACCTATCCCCCTCTGTTCTGTTGTTGTGATAAATAGCCAACTTGATAAAATTGAGGGGAGGAAATTGTTTCTTTCTTGTAATGTTCGAAGTGTTGATGAGAAGATCCTGTACTCAGAGGCAACAGGTAAGAAGCTGCCACTTTCTATTTTAGGTTTGGTTTAATTTATTTTGGGTTTTTTTGTTTTGGGGGGTTTTCATTTTGTTTTGGTTTGGTTTTATAACCCATACATGCCAAGAAATTCTTAATTCCCTGCATGCAAAGAACAAGTTAAAGGTATTCTTACTCATTGCTGGTAGAGAGCTGGTATATCTCTCAAAATTATAGTCATGTACCTTTTGACCCATTTTCAGGATTTTATCCCATAGGTATACTAACATGTGTGAAACATTACAGTGTGTAAGGTTGCTGGTAGAGAACTGGTATATCTCTCAAAATTATGGTCATGTACCTTTTGACCCATTTTCAGGATTTTATCCCATAGTTATACTAACATGTGTGCAACATTACAATGTGTAAGGTTGCTCTAGGGTTCCAGTAATTGTGCTACTCATGCAGTGTTATTTGGACTAGCAAAAGATTGGCAAAACATAAATATCTATCAATAGGAGACTAGGTAAAGAGACTACAGTTCATCCATGAACTATATTGTGTGTGCCATAAAAAATATTGTGGAATATTGTGGTGCCATAAATAAGAATAAGGAAACTCTTTTTGTATGATATGGAGCTATATATCATTACTATATATTGAATGAAAAACACAAGCTACAGGACAGTGAATGTGTTTATGTTATCATCAGTGTAGAAAAAGTCGAGAGGTTCTTCCCATTCTCTTGCCTTTTTCTTCTTCCTTCCATTTCACCCCTTCCTTCCTTCCTAAATATTTCTAAAGCTATTAGGTAGAGTCGGGCATGGTAGGCTGGGGGATAAGGGGGAAGACACAGGGAGGGGTGGCTGCAGCAGTCCATCGCTGTCTGGGAGCCTGAGTGGAGTAGAGGGTGTCTGCACAGGGGAGTGGCCCAGCACAGGATGTCAGAGCCCAACTATGGGAAGGAAGGAGTCCCCATGGGGAGCAGCATGGGTGTCAGAGCCCACAGGGAGAGGGTGGCGTCTGCACAGGCTGGCAGCCGTGATGCGAGCTAGGTTTCTCACGCCAGAGTAGTTCCAGATATGGAAAAAGAGTTAACAAGAATGAGCACTGTTGTCTTGGATTGGAGTTAGAGATACTAGACATGGATATTTTCTCATTCTTTTGCTCTTGCAAATACTCTTGTAATGAGTAACTTTGTATATCGTCAGCTGTCACAGGGCCTTTGCAACTGAGGAGTCCTGGAAGCCTCACCTTCAGTAGCTTCAGACTTAGACAAGTTAATTTAGATATCCAATGCTTTTTCTTTTGTTTTATTTATTTATTTATTTATTTGTTTGTTTGTTTAATCTGGCTGCTCCAGGTCTTAATTGTAGCATGCGGGATCTAGTTCCCTGACCAGGGATCAAACCCGGCCCCCTGCTTTGGGAGCATGGAGTCTTAACCACTGGACCACCAGGGAAGTCCCTTTTTGTTGTTTTTATTTTTTATTTTAATGGACCTCAGATGCACATGTTTGGGTTACTCAGAATCCTTGATTTAGGATACAGAGCCATTATTGGTATGTGAATGGTCATCTTTTACTTACTTATTCACTAATGTATTTATTTTTCTAATTTAATAATAAACATCCTGAAACCTACAATCAAACAAGAACCAGAATCTTAATAATATTATATCCCTACCTAATTACTTTTCCCCATCTCATCCTCCTATTTTTCCTTCAGAGGTAACTCTGATCTAGAGTTTTGTGATTTTCGTTCCTTTATACCTCATTGGGTTTTTTTTAAGTTTGATTTAGAATATATTTGTAAAAAAAAAAAGAAAGAATATATTTGTGCCTAAGTAATATATTGTTTAGTTTTTTGTTTTTGAACTTTGTAGAAAAGAGATTGTGCTATATGTGCTTTTCTGGGACTTGGTTTTTTTTTTTTCTACCCAGCTTCATGTTACTGAAGTTCACCCATGTTGTTGGCTATGAAGTTTGCTCATTTACTGCAGTATAATATTCCATTGTGTGACTATACCACAATGCATTTATCTCTTCCTCTAATGGTGGGCCTCTGACTATTATGAATGGCACTACTATTAACATTCTTATTCATGTCTCCTGCTGGTGTATATGGGCAAGAGCTTGGCATATACTTAGGAGTGGAATTTCTGGGTTGGAGGGTATAAGAGTGTTCAGCCTTACAGGGAAATGCCAGATTGTTTTCTAAAGCTGTACCAAATTACATTCCCACCAGCAGTATATGACATTCTGTCGATCCCTATCTTTTCTAGCAATTGGTAAAGTCAAATTTCTTGATTTTTGCCAATCAAATGGTTATAAAATGGTATTTCAGTTTGATCTAAAGTTGCATTTCCCTGATTACCTATGGAGCTGAGCATCTCTTCATATATTTATTGACCATATTTGTTTCCTGTTCTGTGAAATTCCTGTTTTCTCAGCCTCTTTTATTGGTTTTTTTCCTCTTTTTTTTTTTTTTTTACTGATTTATAGGAATTCTTTATTTTTTATAAAACGAATCTTTTTGTTGGCTATATAAGTTGCACATATCTCCTTCTAGTATATAAGTTGTCTTTTATTTGCTTTGAGTTATCTTTTTATGAACAGAAGTTTTTAATGTAAATGTAGTTACATTTATTAAATTTTTTCCTTTATGGTTAATGCTACTTGTATTTTGTTTAAGAAATTCATTTTTCCCTTAAGTGTTAGCTGTTTGCTGGAATGATAGATAAAAGAAGCAGGAGGAAGATCATGAATAATTTGAATCCATAGTCAGTTTAAAAATCCTATTCCAGGCTGTGGTTTATACTTTCTGTCTCACTAAACCTTTCAGTATCATAAAGGTAACAGATGGCTCAGTTGTAATTTTACTTCCTTTCACTTCCTTGACTATCTCTAATGGAAGTGGTAATGAACCATGAAATGACCAAGTGGCAGAGGACCTAGTTACCCAGGAGAGCTAATACAGTATTGTGAGAATCAAAAGTTGATTCTTTTTTTTTTAAATAAATTTTCTTAAGGTTCTTTCCTTTTTTTTAATTCTATTATTTTTATTTTATTTGTTTTTGGCTGTGTTGGGTCTTGGTTGGGGCACACACGATCTTCATTGCAGCTTGCAGGATCCTCCACTGTGGTGCACAGGCTCCTCATTGTGGAGCGGGGCTTCTCTCTAGTTGTGTCACAGAGGCTCCAGAGCACGTGGGCCGTGTAGTTGCTGTACGTGGGCTCTCTAGTTGTGGCCTGCGTGCTCAATAGTTGTGGCACGTGGGCTTAGTTGACCTGCGGCATGTAGGATCTTAGTTCCCCAACCAGGGATCAAACCCACATCCCCTGCATTGGAAGGCGGATTCTTAACCACTTGACCACCAGGGAAGTTCCCAAAAGTTGATTCTTAATTTGGCTGAAAAATGAGAGTGGGCAGATATCCTGAAGGTACCAATATGAATCAAAGTGCTTTTGTGTGTGTATATATGTATTTCTACTTAGAGAAGTCCCATCAGATAGAGTGAAGTCAGTTGACTTATAATCATCTTCTGTTATTTTATTGTTTAGGCTTATTTATAAAGCTGGATCCTGAAAAAAGTTTGATATAAAAGAGCTTCTGGTGAATTCCACACCAATCTGCGTAAGGCTGTCCCTCCTCCAGAAGAAGCAGTTGTCTTCAGTCCTGTTCTACTCACCCACTGTTGAATCCCCCATCGGGTGAAGCCTGCTAACACGGACCTTCCTAAACAAGTCTTTTGAATACAATTCCAGGAGCTCCATTTCCACTTTCCAAACTTTTTTACACAGAGACACTCCCTGTGAGAGTATCAACAGTTCTTTCTGTCTCCTTAGGATAAGTGTCTGGTTCTCCTAAAATTTGAATGGGCTCCTTAAGTTTGCATAGGTGTGATGTCTGACCCATTGCATTCTGGAGAAAAAAGTCATATTGAAACTTTTACCACAAACCTGGAAATGCCAGAAAACCAAAGGAAGGAATAAATATGTGGGTGCACGAATATGTGTGTATGTGTGTGTGTTGTGTGTGTGTGCATTATAAATTACAAAACCAGCTTTGTTGTATCTAAACAAATCTTTTTGGCTACAGTAGGAGACACAACTAGTTCCTATAGGATCGGATACCTCACATCTGTTGTCTTGGATTCTAAGGATTAAACTACTGTGCCATTTTAACATAGGCTGTGTTATTGTATCTTACCAATAGCATAGTATTGGTAATATCATCACTGGAAGGAGCCTGGATATAGTATTTGTAATAGCATCACTGGAAGGAGCCTGTATTTATTTCCTAAGTGTTTTAATCCATTTGGACTTCTGTAACAAAATACCACAGACCAGGTAGCTTATAAAAAACAAATTTATTGCTCACAGTTAAAATGGTAAGTCCAGGATCAAGATGCCAACATGTCACCTTCTGGTGAGGGCCCACTTACTGGTTCATATCTGGTACCTTCTCACCATGTCCTTATTTGGTGGAAGGAGCTAGAGATCTCTCTGGATCCTTTTTTATAAGGACACTAATCCCATTCATGAGGGCTCCACCTTAAGCACTTCCCCAAAGCCCCACCTACTAATACCATCACACTGGGCGTTAGGATTTCAACATATGAATTGGGCTGGGGGTGGGTGGTGGGGCAGGGTATATATGTAGATAATCCCAAAGAATCTACAAATAAAAAAACTAAAGCTAATAAACGAATTCAGCAAAGTTGCAGCATACAAGACCTCATAAAAATTTTAAACTTTTGTGCATCAAAGGACATTATCAAGAAAGTAGAAAGGCAACCTATAGAATGGGAGAAAATATTTGCAAATCATATATCTGATAAGGGTTTAGTATCAGAATATATTAAAAATTCTTAAAGCTCAACCCAAACAAAGCCCACAATTTAAAAATGAGCAAAGGTCTTGATTAGACATTTCTCCAAAGAAGGTATACAAATTGACAACAAGCACATGAAAAGATGTTCAGCATCATTGTTCGTTAAGGAAATGCATATCAAAACCACACTTCATATTCACTGAGGTGACTATAATTTTTTTAATGGAAAATAACAAGTGTCAACGAGAATATGAAGAAATGGGAACCCTCCTACATTGTTGGTCAGAATATAAAATGGTGCAGCTGCTATGGAAGACAGTTTGGTGGTTCCTCAAAAGGTTAAACATAGAATTACTATATGGCCCAGGAATTCTACTCCTAGGTATATGTCCAAGAAAAATAAAAACATATGTCCACACAGAAACTTGTACACAAAAGTTTATAGCAGCATTATTCATAATAACCAAAAGGTGGAAACAACCCAAGTGGAAAATAACAAGTGTTGGCATAACCCTCAGACAATGCTAGTGGGAATATAAAATGGTGTGACCACCATGGAAGACAGTTTGGCAGTTCCTCGAAAAGCTAAACATAAAATTACCATATGACCCAGCCATTCCAAAGGAATTGAAAAGAGGGACTCAAACAGGTACTTATATGCCAGTGTTCATTGCAGTATTATTCACAATGGCCAAAAGGTAGAAGCAATCCAAGTGTCCATCAGCAGATGAATGGGTAAGTAAAATCCATAAAATAGAATATTATTCAGCCATTAAAAGGGAGGAAATTCTGACACATGCTGCAACATGGATGAACCTTGAAAACATGCTAAGCAAAATGTGCCAGACAAAAGAGGACAAATATTGTATGATTCTACTTGCGTGAAGTCTCTTGAGTAGGCAAATTCATAGAGACAGAAAATAGAGGTTAAAAGGGGGCTGGGGAGAGCGAGGAATAGGGAGTTATTATTTAATAGGTACAGAATTTTTCGGGATGATGAAAAAGTTTTGGAAATAGAGGTGATAGTTACACAATATTGTGGATGTAATTAATGCCACTGAGTTGTACACTTGAAAGTGGTTAAACTGGCTAGTTTTATATTTTTTTACCACAACTTTTAAAATTTAATGTAATATACAGAAAGCATTGAATTATATACTTTAACGTGTGAATTGTATGTTAAATTTTATCTCAACAAAGCTGTTAAAAAAGGTAATACTTAAAATGCAAGTATAGGGACTTCCCTGGTGGTGCAGTGGTTAAGACTCTGCGCTCCCAATGCAGGGGCCCTGGGTTCGATCCCTCGTCAGGGAACTAGATCCCACATGCATACCTCAACTAAGAGTTTGCATGCCGCAACTAAGGAGACTGCCTGCCACAACTAAGACCTGGTGCAACCAAATAATTTTTTTTAAGTAATTGAAAACAATGCAAGTACATGTTTCCTCCATTATCCCAAAGTACAGTGTTCCTATGAAAGCTTTCATAAACTGACAGAGTGTAAAGCAAAGAAGCAATTACCTAAGGACACATCTTGGAAATAAATTGAGATAAAGCACAGATGCTCACAGACACAGTTCAAAGCTGTGGCTGCTTGTTGCTGGGATGCTGAGTGTAGTTCCCTGGGAAGGAGTTGGCAGTGCCAGTCTCGCTGCTGCTCAGGGTACCCACTGCATCTAAAAGACTTGCTATAGGGACTTCCCTGGTGGTCCAGTGGTTAAGACTCTGTGCTTCCAATGCAAGGGGGCATGGGTTCAATCCCTGGCCAGGGAGCTAAGATCCCATATGCTGCGCAGCACGGCAGCCAAGAAAAATTTTTTAAATAAAAAAAATAAAAGGCTGGCTGTAAAATGCTGAATGCTACTTTTGCTTTTCAACTTTTTTCATAAAAGCGAAAATCCTCTTCAGGTACCTTTCAGTTAGTGAAAACAGGTACTAATATAGGTCTTTTGTAAAATCAAATTTGAGTAAAGCAAACTTTTGAAGAGCAAACACAAGAAAACAGCAGAGCTGTCACTTACATTCCAGGAGTCCTTTGTCAGTCACATTACAAGCATAAAACTGACTGGCGTATTCTGTTTCATTGATCTCATTTAAAATACTATTATGATAAGGTGTTTCTAGTAAAAGCAAAAACATGATTTTATTTATTTATTGGCTGTGTTGGGTCTTCGTTGCTGTGCTCAGGCTTTTTCTAGCTGCGTCGAGCAGGGACTACTCTTGGTTGCGGTGCGCGGGCCTCTCATTGCCGTGGCTTCTCTTGTTGCAAAGCATGGGTCTAGACAGGTGGGCTTCAGTTGTTGTGGGACACAGGCTCAGTAGTTGTGGCTCACGGGCTCTAGAGCACAGGCTCAGTAGTTGTGGCGCACGGGCTTAGTTGCTCCGCAGCATGTGGGATCTTCCCAGACCAGGGCTCGAACCTGTGTCCCCTGCATTGGCAGGCGAATTCTTAACCACTGTGCCACCAGAAGGTTAAGACCCTGTGCTCCCAATGCAGGGGACCCAGGTTCGATCCCTGGTCAGAAAACTAGATCCTGCACGCCACAACTAAGAGTTCACATGCCACAACTAAAGGTCCCGCACGTGGCAACGAAGATCTTGCGGGCTGCAACTAAGACCTGGCACAGCCAAATAAATAAATAAATGTTAAATAAAGAAAGAAAATGAATGTGACCTTACTTTGTACCCCACGCTTGGAAAACAGATGTGACTGTCCCGTTGGTTTTGAAGGTTCCACCTCTCAAGTGATTGGGTATGAGAAAGGGGGAATTTCAGGTGCAGGCTTGGCCAGGCCTATGAGTGCACGCGCGCGCGCGCGTGCGCGCACACACACACACACACACACACACACACACACCTTCAGGATTTGTCACTTTCTGAGCTTAGAAATCCTGCCTCTCTCTGCCTCTTAGCATTTCACAAATAGGAAATCAGTTCCAGCTGAGCAGTTGGGCGAGCTCTCACATTTCTGGGAGGAGCTCAGGCTTCCCTCGGTTGGCCTAGTTCCCTGACCCTGTACTCTGCCGGGGGGGCCCCCCTCCTTCAGCCCAGTGACCACACCAGGCAGTAGCACTTGGAGCCAGCAGCTGCCTATCAGCTGCCCAGCTCCCCTGGGCATGGGGTCTTCTGCCACAGCCCTGCCTTCCCTGTATTATTCTTCTCCCAGGTGAGCATCCCAGCAGCCCACCCAGAGCCCCTCTGGGCAGAGCACTTAGCAACAACAGCTTTTAACTCCACCCGGTGTCCCAGGTTTGGTGAAGATAGCTTTTTCTCCTGTCTTGACCAGTCTGAGGCCGAGCCTCCCATTAGCACTTCCCACCCACAGCAAAGACCAAGAACCTTAGAAACTGGATAAAGCAAAAACCTTGAAGCATCATAGAGCCAAGTGGTTAATCAGTTCCAACATATTTTCCTTTCCAAAGGGCCCACTGTGGGCACCAGAGTATAAAATGAATCTCAGGAAAGTCCCTCCCAGAGGGAACCAGGAAAAGACAGCTGACCTAGGAGGACTCAGAGAGGAGAGATCTGGGGCAGACAAGCAAGAAACTGCTGGAAGAGTGATGTGAGAAAGGCCCAAGAATGAGCTAAGAACCAGGGCGCATGATCAGCTGTGTGCAAGACAAGATCCAATCAGAGTCTGGCTCATGCAAAATTTTTATACATTAGTTGCAACATTTAAAAGAAGTTTTCACATAAAAATCTGGATTTGTGCTGGCTTTTTTGTGAAAATGAGAAGAGCTGGCAACTGGGCCTGGATTCTATGGTGGCAACTCCTGAATGGAACATAGCCAGCACACCCCCCTCTTGGGGCCCTCAAGTTTGCCCATCGCTCTCTGAGTGCACAGCGGCTCGTGTCCAGCCTGCCCCCTGACTCTTAGCTCATAAGAAGGTCAAGAAACCAAGTGTCCCTGAGGGCAGGACCAGCCTGGGCAGGAGTCTGGAGATCAGCCATGAACTGATAGGGAGATGGGCAGTCGGGGAGCCCTCCAGAAGTTGCCCTGTGTGAGCCTATAGGGCCGAGTCTTCAGGAGGGATTTGAGTTCACAGTGCACTAAATAGCAATGGTGTCTAGGAAGGCTACCAGGGAAGTTCCTTCCTCATCCAGAAAGGCCAGATGGATCTCATCCCAGACAGAACCCCTCCAAAGTGCTGGGAATCCCCCATCACAGCAGGGAGCCAGCCAGCCCTGCTGGCCATCAGGGGAGCTCCACTGCATGTCCGGAATGATCTGAGAAGGCTTCCAGGTCCCCTCAAGATGAGGAGGACTTTGTAAGATTTCTGGAAATGTTATAATTTTCCTCTTTAAATGTCTTGAAACAACACAAAAATCTTTAAACAAAAAAATGTCCTA